AACTCTATTGACATCATGAATATTCATCAAAGGCATGCTATATATCAAAAATCAAAGGATTTTCTGCTAAATTTCAGGTACTAATTTACAATTTTACTTTTGCAAAATGTTATTTCAATAAGTATAAAGCATTTGCATGGATGAAAGCTAAGATGAAGGCTGAAAAACTTCAAAGGCGTACATTTGTTTTGCAAAACAAATTCCTGCAGAATCGAATTTTGTTTACATTCAGTAGGGGCAGCTTACACAGGTGCACCAATTGACTAAAAGTACATATATGAGACTCAGATCAGGATTCATTTCTTTAAACCGCAACCATGAGAAGAAGATTCAGCGTGAATGAAGCCCTGGAGGTGTTTCAGCAGCTTGAAGATGAGGGGGGGTCAGTCAGGAGGGACCGCAGCAGAAGCCGACCGTAATCATCGATTACAACCGCTGCAAAGGGGCAGTTGACAACTTGGACAAGGTAATTTATTTATTTTATTTTATTATAATTCGCCAACCTAATTGCATATGTCATTTATTTATTCATTTATTTTTATTCCAGCTCGTTGCAACATACAGCTGCCGTCGCAAGACCAGACGTTGGACCATGTCGCTCTTCTGCAACATGTTAGATGTGAGCGCCTACAATGCCCTGGTCCTGTGGCTGTCTGGAACCGGCCTGGAACCAGCAGAAGAGGAGCATCTGCCGAAGGCTGTTCTTGCAGGAGCTCCATGGTGAGACCAGCCCAGGCGAGGAGCACTCGCTTGCCGCGGTCCAGCAGCGCTGCAGCTTTGTTGCAGGTGCAGCAGCAAGCAGAGCCAGCTCCAGCCCAGGAGCAGACAAAGAAAAAAGGCCACCTTTGCAGGGGGAAGAGGAGCGTGCATGCACGCTTTTACCAAGCACGTGGACAGGCTGTGTGCAAGGAGCACTCAACAGTTGTATGCTCAGCCTGCAGCTGTTAGCTCACTCCCCTCACTCCCCTCTCTCTCTCTCTCTCTCTCTCTCTCTCTCTCTCTCTCTCTCTCTCTCTCTCTCTCTCACACACACACACACACAAAAAAGAAATACAGCATAGAATTAGAGATACAACACAGCAAGAACACACCTAAGATTTCTTATTCCTTTTGGTTAGAAGGACAAAATCTTTTCCTGACCCTTTCGAACATCGCTGGTCTAATGCCTCACTGATCTTTTACTCATTAGGTGAAATTCTCATAAGGTCAGGAACTTTTAGCTCATTGACTTTGGTCAGCACCTCTCAATGCTGAAGTAATGTTACGTCCTCTATCCTAGTATTTATTTAAACATGTGGCTATGCAGTGTTTCCCCTACATAGGCTAAGGCGTGGCTATGGCAGACACACACATATATACAGTGGGGCAAAAAAGTATTTAGTCATCCACCGATTGTGCAAGTTCTTCCACTTAAAATGATGACAGAGGTCAGTAATTTTCATCATAGGTACACTTCAACTGTGAGAGACAGAATGTGAAAAAAAATCCATGAATTCACATGGCAGGATTTTTAAAGAATTTATTTGTAAATCAGGGTGAAAATAAGTATTTGGTCACTTCAAACAAGGAAAATCTCTGGCTCTCACAGACATGTAACGCCTTCTTTAAGAAGCTTTTCTGTCCTCCACTCGTTACCTGTATTAGTGGCACCTGTTTGAACTCATTATCTGTATAAAAGACACCTGTCCACAGCCTCAAACAGTCAGACTCCAAACTCCACTATGGCCAAGACCAAAGAGCTTTCGAAGGACACCAGGAAAAGAATTGTAGACCTGCACCAGACTAGGAAGAGTGAATCTACAATAGGCAAGCAGCTTGGTGTGAAAAAATCAACGGTGGAAGCAATTATCAGAAAATGGAAGACATACAAGACCACTGATAATCTCCCTCGATCTGGGGCTCCACGCAAGATCTCATCCCATGGGGTCAAAATGATCATGAGAACGGTGAGCAAGAATCCCAGAACCACACAGGGGGACCTGGTGAATGACCTGCAGAGAGCTGGGACCACAGTAACAAAGGTCACTGATAGGTAATTAGATTTATCCCATATTACCTTAAAGGACGACACACACAGAGAGAGAGAGATTATTTGTAATGTCCATGTGGGCGAATCAACATGCGAGAAGCTGGACTCAACCAACCAGCCCCCACTCTGCTCCAGCCTCAAAGCCTTCACCTCACGAGCTCTGCATACCCGTGGTCTCCATCAGGAGACCAGAATGTTAGGTAATATTTAATCTCCATAACCCTGGAACCTGAAATAACACACATGACAACAAGGAAGACATTTTACCCTGAGTCCCCAAAATATGGAGAGTTAACGCAGAGGAACCTCCTCCGAGGCTTCCCCACGTCACTCCCATGTGCTCACAGTTCGTCATGGGCTTTATTCACAAAGGATGGAGGAGAAGGCGGGCCTTCTCAGGTTACAGAGGTACAGAGGTTTCCTTGGAAATCTACAATCAACATCCTGGAAATCCACAATCAACATCCTTGACTGCAAACAAGCTTCTCTGCTCAACCTTTCATAAACAGCCACAGTTGGCAAACACAAGAGATTCATGAAGTGTTAATAACACAAAATGGGCATCTTTTAGGCCTCAAAAAAGGTACAATTATAAAAATACCCAACAGTCACCATCAGTAACACACTACAACGGCAGGGAATCAAATCCTGCAGTGCCAGACGTGTTCTGCTGCTGAAGCCAGTGCGTGTCCAGGCCCGTCTGAAGTTTGCCAGAGAGCACATGGATGATACAGCAGAGGATTGGGAGAATGTCATGTGGTCAGATGAAACTAAAGTAGAACTTTTTGGTATAAACTCAACTCGTCGTGTTTGGAGGAAGAAGAATACTGAGTTGCATCCCGAGAACACCATACCTACTGTGAAGCATGGGGGTGGGAACATCATGCTTTGGGGCTGTTTTTCTGCTAAGGGGACAGGACGACTGATCCGTGTTAAGGACAGACTGAATGGGGCCATGTATCATGAGATTCTGAGCCAAAACCTCCTTCCATCAGTGAGAGCTTTGAAGATGAAACGTGGCTGGGTCTTCCAACACGACAATGATCCCAAACACACCGCCCGGGCAACAAAGGAGTGGCTCCGTAAGAAGCATTTGAAAGTCCTGGAGTGGCCTAGCCAGTCTCCAGACCTCAACCCCATAGAAAATCTGTGGAGGGAGTTTAAAGTCCGTGTTGCTCGGCGACAGCCCCAAAACATCACTGCTCTCGAGAAGATCTGCATGGAGGAATGGGCCAAAATACCAGCTACTGTGTGTGCAAACCTGGTACAGATCTATAGTAATCGTTTGACCTCTGTTATTGCCAACAAAGGTTATGTTACAAAGTATTGAGTTGAATTTTTGTTATTGACCAAATACTTATTTTCCACCCTGATTTACAAATAAATTCTTTAAAAATCCTGCCATGTGAATTCATGGATTTTTTTTCACATTCTGTCTCTCACAGTTGAAGTGTACCTATGATGTAAATTACTGACCTCTGTCATTATTTTAAGTGGGAGAACTTGCACAATCGGTGGCTGACTAAATACTTTTTTGCCCCACTGTATATGTAAATATAAACACACACACACACACACACACACACACACATACACACACACACACACACACACACATATATATATATATATATATATATATATATACACATACATATATATCATAGGAATCTCAACACCAACACTGAGGCGGCAATCCGGTTCTTTTTTATTTAATTTGTAATGAATTAAATTACATGTTATTTAATGAGCCATAAGGCATAGGATTCCCTAGGAAATATGAAATCCACCTTATGGATCTGTGAGGTTATTTAAACCAGAAGATTGGAACTTTTTAATGCAGGGATTAGAAAACAGCTTCGTATTCACTCAGAGACAACAGAAGAGAGAGTCAAGTTTAAAAGTTAAGAATTTTATTACTAACAAATTAAACTAGACTAACTTTAAACACTAAATGTATGGTGTAACTAAAGTTGATGTGATGGTGAATGGATGACGTGTGATGTTGATCAGAACTGGCAAATCCGAAGAAGCGATTAGTTCTGATGGGAACTGAAGGTGATGTCTTCACGTTAAGCTTTGGTTAGCAGATTCATAAACATATTTCAACGCCATTTGTCAGGCTACATACCCTTCAGGAAGTCCCCGTCTAGGATCAGGAGGTGTCCTTATGGAGCCGGAGCATGTAGAAGAAGCCACGGCAACCGACCACCCGTCTTGAGATACTTCCGGGTCACGACAATTTGTTGGCGTCTGGTGAGACCCGAGCCTGGGTCTTGATGGTTCAGCTTTTATTCTGAAAGGAACTGTTGCAGCAGTTGGAACAGCAACGAATTTTCCAGCTTGTCGTTGGTTCTTTCAGTTAAAGAGGAGAGTTACGGATGGCCACTCCGACTCTTTCTCTGGAACGCTTTGAACTGGCGTTAGAGATGACGTGGGCATAGTTTTATACTTCGGATGTTTTGGTTTATGGTCGAATGAAAAGTTGAAGAGTTACCAAACACCATCAAAACCACACCTCCGTCAGATCTGTCAGATTCTGATTGGATCAGTGAAAGTAATGTGTCATGTGTTTTAACGCTACGTGAAATGAGTCCTGTTGGAACATTTAAAGTCATAGTACATTTATATTCTATAGGATTATAATAAAGTAATTAACATTTAGATTTCACAGTTCGGTCACATCTTATTTGTCGACTAACACTTGGTTGGATTAGCTTTATTAAAATAGAGTTCTTTGATTAATTAAAAGAAAAGAGTTCATTTTCATTCTTCTGTTGAGCTGAAAAGAAGCAGGTTAGAAGAAAATGCATGAGACCTTGAGACCATATCTCATGCAGACTAGTCCTGTGCAGAGGAGAAAAAAAACAGTCATTTCATTCCGTTACAAATTAAGAATCAAATCGTGGTACAACTCGGTCAAAAAACTGTGTTGCCTCCTAACGCTCCAACTCCCATCTACCCCCCCCCCCCCCCCCCCCCCTCCAAAAAAAACCTTCTATAAAAGGAATTATGGGATACAGGAAGCCCAAAATACAAAGAAAATGTTTCAGAATCTAACACTTCTACATTCTATGATTTTAACTGAAGTGTTTCTGTATTTTTTAATGAAATTATATTTTTTTTTAAATCACAAATTTTTAAAAACTTATTCACTAACATATCCTAAATGAATTTGCAACTAATTGGCTCTCACACACACTTCACAAAAGCTTGCTACGCCCCTGCGCGCACACACATTCTCCTCCTCCTCCACTCCCCTGCTCTCACAGATGGAATTTATTTACCCGTCAATAACACCTTCAAAATAATTCATTAAGTCTTGTGTGAACTGTAAAGTGACAGTTTAAATATGTCTTGTCTCTAAATCTTTGACCACAGAGCCAACAGGAAAACAGGTTTTTCTCTTGTGTGGACTCTCATGTGATAGTTTAAAGCTGTCTTAAAGCCAAATGTTTTACCACAGGTCTCACAGGCAAACGATTTTTCTCCTGTGTGGACTTTCATGTGAACGTTTAAGGCTTGTTTTTGGGCAAATCTTTTACCACAAGTCTCACAGGCAAAAGGTTTTTCTCCGGTGTGGACTCTCACATGATTATTTAAAGCTGTCTTATGGCCAAATCTTTTACCACAGGTCTCACAGACAAAAGGTTTTTCTCCTGTGTGGACTCTTACATGATTATTTAAAGCTGTCTTATGGCCAAATCTTTTACCGCAGGTCTCACAGGCATAAGGTTTTTCTCCTGTGTGGACTCTTACATGATTATTTAAAGCTGCTTTATAGTCAAATCTTTTACCACAGGTCTCACAGGCAAAAGGTTTTTCTCCTGTGTGGACTCTCATGTGAGTGTTTAAAGCTGTCTTATGGCCAAATCTTTTACCACAGGTCTCACAGACAAAAGGTTTTTCTCCTGTGTGGACTCTTACATGATCATTTAGAACTGCTTTGTAGTCAAATCTTTTACCACAGGTCTCACAGGCAAAAGGTTTTTCTCCCTTGTGGACACTCATGTGAACATTTAAAGCTGCCTTTCGGCTAAATCTTTCAGCACAGGTCTCACAGACAAAAGGTTTTTCTCCTGTGTGGACTTTCATGTGAACGTCTAAGGCTCGTTTATGGGCAAATCTATTAGCACAGGTCTCACAGGCAAAAGGTTTTTCTCCCTTGTGGACACTGATGTGAAAGTTTAAAGTTGTCTTTCGGCTAAATCTTTTACCACAGGTCTCACAGGCAAAAGGTTTTTCTCCTGTGTGGACTCTTACATGACTATTTAAAGCTGTTTTATAGCCAAATCTTTTACCACAGGTCTCACAGATAAAAGGTTTTTCTCCTGTGTGGACTCTCATGTGAACTTTTAAAGCTGTTTTATAGCCAAATCTTTTACCACAGGTCTCACAGATAAAAGGTTTTTCTCCTGTGTGAACTCTAATGTGAACGTTTAAATCACACATTGCACTAAATCTTTTTCCACAGACATCACAACTAAATGATTTTAGTTCTTTCTGGACTGTCTTGCATGAGTCTACATTTTGCTTAACTCTAACACATTTCTTTTTGACCAAACAGCTTGAAGACCTCATTGCTGAATGACCTGACACTCTCACGTGTTTCTGGAGAGAACTCTTGTGGAGAAATTGTTTACTAAACTCAGGGCAGCTAAAGGACTTGTTGACAGTCCTAACATGTGACTTAGAAGACCTGCTTTCAGTCCAGTCACTGTCTTCTTCCCCAGTTTCAGACCCAGAGTCTGACAGCTCAGAGTCTAGATTCACATCTTCATCCTCTTCTTCATCATCTCCACTCATTTCAGTTTCTGAAGAATCAGATGTCTGTTCATGAGGGTTCAGATCTTGGTTCCTGCTAGTTTCTGCTCTTCCACCAGTTTCTGCTGTCATCTGGTGAGCTGAGCTGGTGGTTGGAACTTCATTGTCTTCTAGTTGCTGCTGATGAAGCTGTGAGAACAGAGGTTTCTCTTCGTCATCCTCACTCTTTATAGAAGCCAATGTGAATGGAAACCTGGCAGCATCTGTTTTCTCCTTCAAATGGAGCTGCTCTCCCTCCAGACTGGTCCAGTTTTCTTCTTGTTCCTCCTTCATGTGGACGTGTTCTGAGTCTTTCTGGTCCTCACCTGCACTCTGTTCCTCAGGAGCTTCTTCTTTAACCAGCACCAGCTGTTGAACATCTGTAGGAAACACAGAAACATGATGTGAATTACTGGTCGATGGAACTTCACATTCACACTTACTCTCACCTAAAGGATTACTAAGAACACCTGTTCAACTTCTCCTTAATGCAATTATCTAATCAACCAATCACATGGCAGTTACATCAATGCATTTAGGGGCGTGGTCCTGGTCAAGACCATCTCCTGAACTCCAAACTGAAGGTCAGAATGGGAAAGAAAGGTGATTTAAGCTATTCTGAGCGTGGCATGGTTGTTGGTGCCAGACGGGCCGGTCTGAGTATTTCACAATCTGCTCAGTTACTGGGATTTTCACCCACAACCATTTCTAGGGTTTACAAAGAATGGTGAGAAAAGGGAAAAACATCCAGTACGCGTCAGTCCTGTGGGTGAAAATGCCTTGTTGATGCTAGAGGTCAGAGCAGAATGGTCTGACTGATTCAAGCTGATAGAAGAGCCTAACCCTCGTTACAACCGAGGAATGCAGCAAAGCATTTTATTTTGTGGCACTCACAGAGCACAGTCACTTCTGCTTTGCTCCCATATCTTTTTCCCAAGGCTCTTTTTGTCCCGTCTGCCTACAGAGCGCTTCTCTGCATTTCCTCTGGAAATCACTATTTTTCAGAAATGGATTTAATTAATTGGTCATTCAACGCAATTGATAAGATTTTTTCTATGATGAGAACGGAGGAGGGGGCTCGCGTTTGCCCTCACAGGACAAACGCAGCGGGATATATGCTCGATTCCTGGAAGGAGTGGAATGTCATCTGTCTCTCTCAGCTGTCCATTGAGGATGTCGAAGATGTGTGGATATTTGGCCTGATGATCACTGGATTTCTTCTGATTGGAGTGGGAGGATATCTGGTTTTCCGAAAAATTGGGAAGACGGGAGCGATTGGAGGGCGACCCAAACCATGGACGGCACCGTCCGGGCGGAGACCTCACAGACTGGGACGTTACTCGAGGTGAATCGCAAGCTGGACAATGTCTTAGCTGCGTTACCGGTGTTAGTGCGCAAAATGGATGTCATCTCGGAGAGGGTCACCGGACGGTATGGAGATGTTTAATCACCGAATTGGCTTCACTGGAGGATTTGAATGATCAATACAGACTTGAAGGCAGAGAGGAAAATTATCTCTGCCTGACCCAAACAAAGTCTTGTTATCCAATCTGACGCCATAAGCAGCCTTGGAGTTGTGTGCAAAAACCCCCACGATGGAAGGAATGCAGACAAATGCTGTGAAAACTCTACCTACCCCCCCGCCTTCAGATTGTGGTCTCCGCATCGAGGTCATCAAGATGGAGGCACTCACTGTGCTCTGTGCTTTCCCATGACCTCCCACCCACCTGTGGATTCAGTTGGCCGAGCGCCACACAGGCTGCTCCCGCTGAGGAAACCAGGGTCCCAGCCCCCCTACCTACCGGGTCTCATGTTGTGAACTGTGACGTTCGTGCTTATATGTTGAGGTGTTTTTTTTTGCATAGTAGAGCAACACCCTGCCGCTGTAACTCTGTTAATGCCTTTTTCTCCCTCCCCGAACTCTCTTCATGTAATCCCCCCTTCATCTATTGAAATGAGCGCCGTTATGGCTGCTCTCATGGTCTGCCTGTATGTGTCCTGTCTATATGTGTGTGTGTAATCTTGGTCAGGCTGTTCTGTGGAGTCAAGTTCCTATGCTCTGGTTTGCTGTAGCGCTGGCAATAAAATTCTCTCTGATTCTCTGATTTGTGAAGCCACAACACGCACAAACTTGAGGCAGATAGGCTACAACAGCAGAAGACCCCACCGGGTACCACTCATCTCTACTACAAATAGGAAAAAGAGGCTACAGTTTGCACCAGCTGACCAAAACTGTACAGCTGGAAGACTGGAAAAATGTTGCCTGATCTGATGAGTCTCCATTTCTGTAGAAAAATTGAAATGGTAGAGTCAGAATTGGGCGTAAACAGAATGAGAACATGGATCCATCATGCCTTGTTACCACTGTGCAGGCTGGTGGTGGTGGTGGTGTCATGGTGTGGGGGACGTTTTCTTTGCACACTTTAGGCCCCTTAGTGCCAACTGGGCATGGTTTAAATGCCACTACTCTCAGCTTCAAGGGCTGATTTAAATGTAAAATAAACAATCAATGATGAACAAGAGTCTGCTTCTAGACCTGCAGAAGAGGGACACACAACAATACAACAGGAGCAAGCTATCACTGCGTCAACTTGATGAAGAAATATAAAATCAACATTGTTTTACTGAACAATCACACTATAATAAATCACAGTGCATTAAATGCCAACCACAGCCTTAAGACATGTGTTGAATGTGCCGAAGTCTATACTTATGAGAGCACCAAGTGAGCACCTGTGTGTGTACACGCGATTGTACAGGTCCTTCTCCAAAAATTAGCATATTGTGATAAAGTTCATTATTTTCTGTAATGTACTGATAAACATGAGACTTTCATATATATTAGATTCATTATACACAACTGAAGTAGTTCAAGCCTTTTATTGTTTCTAATATTGATGATTTTGGCACACAGCTCATGAAAACCCAAAATTCCTATCTCAAAAAATTAGCATATCATGAAAAGGTTCTCTAAACGAGCTATTAACCTAATCATCTGAATCAACTAATTAACTCTAAACACCTGCAAAAGATTCCTGAGGCTTTTAAAAACTCCCAGCCTGGTTCATTACTCAAAACCGCAATCATGGGTAAGAGTGCCGACCTGACTGCTGTCCAGAAGGCCATCATTGACACCCTCAAGCAAGAGGGTAAGACACAGAAAGACATTTCTGAACGAATAGGCTGTTCCCAGAGTGCTGTATCAAGGCACCTCAGTGGGAAGTCTGTGGGAAGGAAAAAGTGTGGCAGAAAACGCTGCACAACGAAAAGAGGTGACTGGACCCTGAGGAAGACTGTGGAGAAGGACCGATTCCAGACCTTGGGGGACCTGCAGAAGCAGTGGACGGAGTCTAGAGTAGAAACATCCAGAGCCACCGTGTACAGGCGTGTGCAGGAAATGGGCTACAGGTGCCGCGTTCCCCAGGTCAAGCCACTTTTGAACCAGAAACAGCGGCAGAAGCGCCTGACCTGGGCTACAGAGAAGCAGCACTGGACTGTTGCTCAGTGGTCTAAAGTACTTTTTTTTGGATGAAAGCAAATTTTGTACGTCATTCGAAAATCAAGGTGCCAAGAGTCTGGAGGAAGACTGGGCAGAGGGAAATGCCAAAATGCCTGAAGTCCAGTGGCAAGTACCCACAGTCAGTGATGGTCTGGGGTGCCATGTCAGCTGCTGGTGTTGGTCCACTGTGTTTTATCAAGGGCAGGGTCAATGCAGCTAGCTATCAGGAGATTTTGGAGCACTTCATGCTTCCATCTGCTGAAAAGCTTTATGGAGATTATTTCATTTTTCAGCACGACCTGGCACCTGCTCAAGGTGCCAAAACCACTGGTAAATGGTTTACTGACCATGGTATTACTGTGCTCAATTGGCCTGCCAACTCTCCTGACCTGAACCCCGTAGAGAACCTGTGGGATATTGTGAAGAGAAAGTTGAGAGACGCAAGACCAAACACTCTGGATGAGCTTAAGGCCGCTGCCACTATCGAAGCATCCTGGGCCTCCATAACACCTCAGCAGTGCCACGGGCTGATTGCCTCCATGCCACGCCGCATTGAAGCAGTCATTTCTGCAAAAGGATTCCCGACCAAGTATTGAATGCATAATGAACATATCGTATTTACCAGACTATAAGCCACTACTTTTTTCCCACGCTTTGAACCATGCGCTTATAATAAGGTGCGGCTTTACTGAAGATTTTCCTTCACCTGCCAGGGGGCGCTTTAGCAGAAAGTGAAATAGGTGGAAGCCAAAAGTAGAAATTGAAGAAAGTGCTCATTTTAATTTAGCACATGCAAGCACCCGGCACGATGAAGAATTTTTTCAAATCCATACCTCCTCATCATGGTAACTACATGTATGAGTTCATATGTTGCCGCATTTAAGTTTAAGGCCATCGATCTGGCAGTAAAGGAGGGAAACAGTGCTGCCGCAGGTAAGCTTGGCATGAATGAATCCGTGGTTTGGCACTGGAGACGGCAGCAGGAAGAACTCATTCAAGCCAGCTTCACCCGGGGATGATGACAGCAACATGGACAGCGACACTGACATCGCCACAGAGAAGGTATGTGACGAAGCTCTTCTGAGGCTGTTCAACTCCGGCACTGAAGATGAGGACTTTATTGGCTTAAGTGCGCAAGAGGAAGATGAGAGCGAGTGACTTTTTCTGGTAGGCAAGTGTTTTATTTACTAACCAGGCATGTTTTGTGTGCAGTTTTTATTTTATAATCATCCAGGGCTTAAGCCTGATTTATGCTTCTAGGTCTGCGTCAGTGCGGAGACATGCAACGTCCTTGCGTGCCTGCCGGAGAGCTCCGCAAGGACGGACGGAGTCAAGCTCTCTTTTTTAAACATCCGTCGAACGAGACAGATTACGCAAGCTTGTGATTGGTCAGGACGCCGCTGTTTACAGCTCCGCCACTGCGCCCTCAAAAACATAAAGAGAACCCAGGAAAACTAGCGTCAGACACCGAGAAGCTTGAAGAATACCTCGCGAAAAAACTCTAAAATCATGAACGTTTAATTCCCCCGTGACTGGAGGAGTGAAAAGATGCGCAGCAAGCATTTTATTTGTGGACGGAAATGACAGGAAAAGTGGGTTTAGGTTTAGAGGTGGCGAGCGCATGAAGTGGAATGAGAGACAAATATGTCAGTGTAAAAAAAATCTCTTAAATACAAAAAACACAATATAAACACACTATCTTGGACCGATACATGACAGGATACCACAGAACAGCGCTACGCCCTCTGTTGCCCTGCAGGGCAATTGCTTTGCAACACTCTCCAGGAGACGGAGAAGTATGAGCGCAAAACGCTTCCGTCAATCCGTGCGTGTCTGTCCCTTGCAGAGCTGACGGAGAAGCATAAACCAGGCTTTATTAAAGGCACAGTCCGTAAGATGACACCGTCAGGGTGAGGAGGAGGAGATTTTTAAATTCGAACGGCTGTTGCTCACTCCCCCGCCCTTCCTGAAAGAGCCGAAAGCCATGCCTCCTAATGTGCACGCGCGGGAAAAGCCGAGTCAACACTAGAGCATTGCTTCTTCATAATAGAGCTGAGCTAGTGTTAGCAATGGAGATATCTGAGGCAAGACAGTTGTTTTTAACCAGCACATCAAACACTTATTACAAAAGGCATTTTATAAAGAATATCTATAAATATATACATATTTTAAAATACCAGTAACAGTTGACAATCTATATTGTAAATAAAATGAATCCTATCAAATTGTTAGCATTTTATTACAAGTAACTAGCTTATTTTTAATTGCTTTGCCATTCAAGATGGGATGAATATATCAAAGAATATAAATAATTTATGTAGAAATCATGAATAAACACTGCATTCTGTGTAGTCCTCCTATAATCATGGTTGTTTTCATAGGGTTTCTGTTTATTGTTGGTTTAGCCCAAATTTTGACTAGATGTAAACCTGATCTGTGTCAAAATTGATTAATGTGCAAGAGTAATTTTTATATTAGTATAATTTTTTTACTCTAATACAAATTAGAGTTCAGTGATTGAGGAATCCTCTGAGGAAGAGTTTGAACCTCCTATTGCATCCTCAAGACGTGGTGCAAAAAGGAGATGCCCACCATCATCTCAAAGCCGTGGTGCATCCAGAGGCCGTGGTGCGTCTAGAGGCCGCGGTGCATCCAGACGCCGAAGAAGTGCGAGACACTCAGCTGTGGACCTTGGAGATGAAGATCTCTCTCTCGAGAGCGAATAGACTTTGAACGTGTAAGCATAACAAAATTACACTAAATTATCCTAAAAACTGTTGCTGTAGCATCTCTTTCCACTTTTGTAGCAACACATACAGAACCTGAACCCTCAGCAGGCTATTGACGTCCTTACCATGGTGCTGGACAGAGACCTTGGTGTTCACTTTGATGTACTTGCCCTCTCTGGTCCACCTGCCACAACACCTCCAACATCCAATCAACCTTCATGGTGTGTATGCTGCCACTGCAGAGATGCCAACTGATTTGGAAAAGAAATGCTGCCAACAGCCTCCCCAGACATTTATTTCAACTGTACCACACATGGAGGAGTTTATTCTGCAAAATGGTGTTCTTTGCCTGGCCAGAACATTGTGGAATGAGTTTCGAGCAGTTTATGATGACCCGGACCCTGGTGAGGACAACAGACAGTTCCGCCATGCAGCTTACAGACAATTTGTAGCATGGCAGCATGGAAAACTTGGTGGAGGGCGCAGAGTAGTAATCCCAAGCTGTGTTGTCTGGAGGATAAGGGGAAAATTCCCTGACCCCAATGGTAACTACACTGGTTTTATTCCAAGATGATTGTAAATAAATGTATATATTTAATATTTTACATCAGTTTGTTTTTTATATAGTTTTGTTTGATGCTCTAATAAAGTGTTCTAAAGCATAACTCTGTGTTGCATTTGTAAAAATACCATAAATTTTAAACTCCTGCACAACAACAAAAACTTAAGTCTACCTCCAGCATTTTACATTCATTTTTAAATTATTAGTCCTTATTTTCCCAAAATATATCTTTATTTTCAACAAAAAAAAAAAAAAAAAAAAAAAACAGGAAACAAAAATAAAGAAGGTTTTGGGTTTTCTCTTGCCTCCCCCAACACCTATGTCTGTGGCAAAGTTTTACCTGTAAATAAAAAATAAACTCAGTTAGCAATGGACTATTGTGTGGAAGATGTAAGGCAGATAATGTTTTATTTTACCATCACCGCGAGTCCGTAGGTGTTGTAGAAGTTCCTCTGTTGATGGTGCAGGGACTCCGGACAGCAAACCGTAACGCCTTGGATCCTCAGGCCTTAGCTTGTAGCGTCGAGGAAGACCTTTCTTGCTTGTCAAACGTTGGTTGACGATCATGGTTTGGATCTCTGGGATGTAGGAGTAGTCTTTTGCCACCTTCTCAGAATACAGCCTCCAGCATCTTGATTCTTTGTTGAATATTTTATGGTATCTGAAATGACACATGCCATAACTTGTAGTAGAGCCCTGCACTGAAGCCCTAGGCCCTCGGGCCGGGCTTCGGGCCAATGACTGTGTAATTACCTCGGACACGGGCCGGGCCGGGCTCCTTTATTTTTAATCGAATTCATTAAAAAAAAATTTAAACACTTAAACCAGGGGTCGGCAACATGTTCCCATCAAAGAGCCATTATTACCCGTTTCCCACAGTAAAGAAAACACTGGGAGCCACAGCAGCCGCGGCATTGTGGGCGGGGCCTTCCCTCAGACAGCAGAGCGCTGCTCACAACAGGTGACAGCAGCCAGTACCGGTCGCTCGTGTACGTCAAAGTTATCTTTCATAAGAAGATAATAAATAAAATGATTTATATAAAGTGGATCCAGAAGTTGTAGCCCGTCTCTGCCTACAATATTTTGATATTTTTCACCCTGTTGGTGGTTTTACTGAGCAGGCGCCACTTTTGTCATACGTTTCTTTTTAAAACATGTTTAGACTGTTCAGAATACAAATCCAGGCTCTGTCACGTTTGGTTGTTGTAATTAAACTTTGTAGGTGGGGAAGGTCAGAAAAGGATCTGATCATTTTGTTTTTCCCTCATTTACAGTGACGGAGATAACGGCGCAGTGCGCCTGGCTCTGGTGTTAATCAAGTTAAATTATATCTCTTTGCAACAATTTTCACAAGAAAACAGAACAGTTAAAACTAGGGCTTGTGTTGACCGGACAGTTCCCGTATTTGACCGCTTATTTTGACGGAGAAAGAATAGAAGGAATTACCCCGACACATGCAGACGAACTGACATTTTATTCTACACACATTACAGATGTAGCTAAATCACCCAAGAAAAGATTCCCATCTGAACACCTGAGCTGGACATTGCTCAGCGCAGCTCACTGTCAGCGTGTACTACATAAGGTCCACAGCGAGCTGAAGATGTGGAGAGAGGCTTGGAGAGCGTCGCAGAACCAGAGCACATGCGGGAAGATTCCTCCGACTGAATTCATTCAGAGGAATCTTCCCGCTGAACTGAATCTGATGCGGCTCTCTGTGCTTGTAAAATAATGGATATTTCAATAAAATGCTTTATATTTTACTGAATTAATTTTATATCTGTAAGTCAATTCTATGTAAAGATTGTCTGCGTAAACCTGAACAGGTCCAACCCAGTCTTACTGTGAGACCGGGTTGACGGGTCATGCTTGTGCGTAATCATAGGCGCTGCTTGAGCTGAAGATGCGAGATTCTGGGCTTCTCTTCAGACGGCTCCTGGATGTGTCGCCACATTGGAGACAGGAACAAGCGCAATTCAGCCAAAGTTTCATAATCAGGGACCATTTTCTAAGTGACAAGTCTCTCTGAGAGACCGGGTTTGGAAAACACTCGCTTCAGTGGGAGGAACCTTCCCGCATGCGCTCTGGTTCTGCAACGCGCTCCAAGCCAATCTCCACAACTTCAGCTCGCTGTGCACACATGCGCTGACAGCGAGCTGCGCTGAGCAGCTCAGATGTTCAGATGGGAATATTTTCTTGGGTGATTTAGCTACATCTGCGATGTGCGTAGAATAAAATGTCAGTTCGTCTGCATGTGTCGGGGTAATTCCTTCTATTCTTTCTCAGTCAAAATAAACGGTCAAATACGGGAACTGTCCGGTCAACACAAGCCCTGCTTTTAACTGTTTTGTTTTCTTGTGAAAATTGTTGGAAAGAGATCAAATTTAACTTGATTACCACCAGAGCCAGTGCGCCATCACCTCCATGACGAGATGAGGGAAAAACAAATTGATCGGATCCTGCACGTCTTTTAACACTAGGGCTGTCGCGGTTGAGGAATTCCCCCTGCGGTGATTAAGGGTGGCTTAATATTGCGGTGTGCGATATTATTGCAGCACTTTTTTTCATTGCAGTACTATCTAAACATAATGTTTACACATTTAAAAAAGGTTAAAAATTGTCGTGCCTTCTTTTATACCACTTTACTGAACGCAGATCAAAGGGCAGTAAGAACACAGATCGCAGTAACGTTTGTTTCTCCGACAGTCGGAGACCGACTGAACTTAAAAACAACAAAATTCAGGAGAAGGTTAAATTTTTAAATGCAAATTTGGCTGCAGCATCTAACAAATAAGAAACAAGTCCCCATTTTGTTTAGTTGTTTAAAATCAAGCATAAAAATTACATGTACCGGGCGCGGGGCACTATCATTTCACTTTCACTTTCACACACACGAATGACGGTGATTTATAGCTCGGTCACGCCCTTGTTACCCACAAGGAAAACCAGCATGTTAACCATATACGGTTTGAGAGAGGATCTGAGAGGGGTGGCAACATTTCCAGCAACACTGAAAACCCTCTCGAATGGTGCGCTCGTTGCACACGTACTTGCGTGCGACTGGTGAGCAAAGGGAATCTCTCCCGGTTGTTGCTCCACCATGTAAGGGGGGTTTCTTTAGGGTGGATGCATTCCTCCTGCAGGTAGCGAGTGAGCTCCAGCTCGGCTCAAACTCTCTTCGGGACGGTTGCAGAAGCAGTGCTTGTCCGGGACTTCAGCAGGTCTCCGAGCGTTTATTATTATTTTTTGCCGCTGGTGGCAGCTCTGTCTCGGCCAAGGACTCTGGCTGCGCAGCAGCTGACATACTGAAAACCAAAGTGCTCCCAAAGGAGCGAAGTAACGTTTCGTTTTCACACCAGTGCAGCCATCCTTCTGAACATGCATCATTGAGTTGAATCAAGTTCAGTAATCGCGGTGGCCCATGATGCAGCGCGGTGGGTTTCTTCATATTGCGATATTTCATTGTTGCGGTTACTGTGACAGCCCTATTTAAAACATTGGTCAGGATTGACGCACTTTGTTTTCATTTAGTTGGTTAAAAAAAATCGGGCTCGGGTCAGGCCAGAGAATCCTGAAAACCTTTTCGGACCGGGTCGGGCTGAGGCTCCACTCCCTCGGGCCGGGCCGGACACGGGCTCAGATTTTAGGCCCGTGCAGGGCTCTAACTTGTAGTATACAACAAATGAGCTGAAAAAGTGTTTTAAATTAAAAGTAATTTAGGGAAGCCCCACCTGGAGGCACTATTATTGAAAATGTGGTTTTTCTGTTATTCTACAGTTGGCCTCTTGACAACATGTTGTTAAACCAATATGTAGCAGTTAGGAGCGTTGTGGTTGTTCATCTGAGGAAGTTGTTAAAAAAATGACTAAAACTGGACCAGTGAATTATGAATTCATGAGTGTATGTTTTATTAAAAATATAAATAAATAAATACATACTGTATCGATCCATCTGCTCTCCTCTTCACTTCTCGATGTGAGTGGTGATTGTAGTCCAGTGCAGCAAGCAGTATCCGTGCCTCGTAAACAGGTGGGATGTAACTGAATCTTTTGCTTGCATACATTCGGAGATGGTTGTGAAACGCCTCCAAATTTTCTGCAGATGTAAAACAAGAATTTAACATTTAGAACAATTATATTATTATTTATAGCTATAATTAAATACAGTACCTGAATTTCAAATATTTTGGGACTTCTTTCAGCCAGCGTTCACTGAGAATGATGTCACTGAGGGCTTTGTGTGGAGTGGAGCCTTTCTGAATCCAGTCTTTCTCTCTGTCACTTAGTAAAGGATCATTTTGACAAGCATCCAGAGACCACTCATGTTCTCCAGTCACATGATGGAGTAGACCGATCCACATGTCCTAAAAGACAAATGTGGTGATTAGTTACATTCAGTTTTTTTAATATGAAAATACAAATAATGTACTTACAAAAAACTCATAAGTGTTCGCCGACTTGCAGCAAAACCAAAAATGGTTACAGATATCTTTGTTCCACTGTAATAAAACAAGTCTCCCCAGCCTTCACAGATTTCTGCACGAGCTGATTATCATTCCTTTTATTTTAATATGGAGTTTTCACGTAGGTAAGACCACAAAATCAGACAGTAATCTGTACACGTGGCCCACCCAGGCTAGCACAATATGTCTTTCAGTGCTAATGAAAATGTAAGGTTTTGGATACGTTCCTGATCAATCACACCTAATTCTAACTGCTGAATCATCTCCTCAGACTTCTACAAGTACTACATGAGCTGCTGATTACTCATTTTAATCAAACACGCAGCTCAGGAAAGTGTAAACATCTAATTCAGCGTTCAAGATGCTAACCGAACCCCGCTAACGGGGAAGTTATAAACAAGAGCTTAAAACAATACACTGATATGGCCTATAGTTAAACGCCACACTAATCATTAGCTCCCATATAAAAAAACACTAAAATCCCCTTTCGTTACTCAAACTTCTTCCAAATAAAGCATAACTAGTTCGACTAGCATCGATTCATGTCGACTTAGCATTCAAGCTAATGCTACATTAGCCAATAGGACACCAACCATACAAAGCTTGTTTGCTCTATTACTTCTTTCAGTGAAAGAAAGATTTTAAGTAAATTTATCCGAAAAACAATAAATAACTTACCTGTCCAAAAGATACTTTTCCAACTCTTCATCCGTTTTCAGGCCGTGTAGATCACGAAAATCTCTCCATCGTTTAAAACAATCTCCAATGTAAATTCTGCTCGACTGTCTTAAACGTCTTACAGCCA